ATTAAAATACTGTTAATAAAAAAGCTTTAGTTGATTTTTTTGAATAAGATCTATTATATAACATAACTCTTAATTATCTTCCATTTTCTATGCCTCTGGGAGGAAGAAGCCAAATTTAAATCTGAAAACTATGCTCTGCTGCTAGAATGATTTGGAAGAATAAAGCATTAAGGGGAAAAAGTATATTTTAATTTACAGATTCTATCTCTATTTGTCCTTGGCATTGGGTACTTTTAAGTCCTGGTATAGGTAGGCTAAGATATATAAAACTAAGGGCCTAAGAAAAAAAGAATTGAATAGAAGTATTATATTAAAGGGTTAGAAAACAGAATAGATAAGAAAGGGTAAATGAACAACAGAGAACTTATATGAAACTAATTTACAAAAGCATAGGATTAACATCCATTTATAATTATAATAGACATGGTTATTGTTCTATAGATTTTTGTAATGTAACTCAATGTTATTTTAAATTCTGATCTCTAAAGAAACTGAGAACAGCTGTTAAATAAATATGCTCTAGACTGAACCTAAATTACAAAAATAATTCAAATTCTATTTATAATTGTATTTAAAGAAAGGATAACTATCTTGAATAGTTTGACTTTTTTTCTGAGGAAGTACATCCCCCTACCACTCATTGGGATCACAGAACCTTGCCACTTCAGCTTCTGACCTAATGCTCGATAAATCTGCTTTCAATGAAAAATAAAATGGTCAGGAAGTCAAGTTGCAACGATGAATTTGATAGATATGAAGAGACATCCAAGAACCAGAGTGGCAATTCATCAAATTAGGATAATTCTGATAAGTCACTGACTTGATCAGAGGTGATAATAAAATGATCCTCAAATGGAATGTTCAGAGGCCTACTTAGACTCTTTAGATTACCACTATAAATATTCCTTGTGTGAAGGTTTGAAAACAGGATCAATTTCAGGCTCATTGACTTGCACAACCCCGAGTGTCAAGTAGATTACTTCCAATATTATTTAACCAAGTAAAGAACTGACAGTCATCAGTGTATTGCCTAATCATAATCATTAGATAGCCAACATTTATGGCACTTCTTATATGCTGAAAATTACTCTAAGTAATTTTTATACATTGACTCATTTAATTGTTCAATATCCCTTATATACACACATTCTGGTTTATTAATTTTCTAAAAAACATGTTACCATATATACTTCCTATAATTAAAAACAATGTAAATTCATACTGTCTTGGAGGAAATCCTAAGAATTATTTTAATACACTGAATACAATAAATTCAACAGAATATTAAAGATTAAGCACTCAAAATTACAATGAAAATAACAGCTAACATTTAATATAGTGCTAACTATATGCCAGGTACTGTTTTAAGCATTTTACATACATTAACTCATTTAATCTTCATGGCAACCCTGTGACGTATATAAGAAAACAAGCAAAAAGAAACTAAGTAACTTTCCATACATAGGTCCTCAGCTGCCCCAAGGTAGCTACATCCACCTGGCAGCTTGCTTTCAGCTTGTGCGCTGAACTACCATACTGTTCTCCTCTCATTGCTTAGATATGAAGGATGTTTAAAGGGAAGAAGGACAAAACTAGATGAGTCCTCATAATGATATGACTGGAAGATATTATATAATTCTATGTTACCTGAAACACTTAAAAAGCCTTAAAATTCCAAACAGAAAGCAGCAGCTATGGTATGCTTTTAATAGCTCTTAAATAATTTTTTATAGTTTAAAAGGTGACTAAAACACCAACCTATTAAGGAATTGTTCAGTAAGATTCTGCTGCTGATCAGGACCATCCTCCTGATTCACACCTCCTTCAAGCAGCATCTGTTGGTATATCTGTCGCTGTTGCTCCTTCTGTTCTAAATGCTGTTGATAGCGTAATCTTTGCCTATAATATTCTTGAAATTGTTCTGTTGAATCTCGAAGCTTAAAAATATTAGAAAAAAACAATACATTTGAGCAGATTGATTAAATACGTTCCCACTCAACAGTAATTTCTAAAAATGATCAATAAAACATAGAAATAGCTATACTTAACAATTAGAAAGTATTCACTATGTTGATTTTTGCAAAAATAACATAGTATCCATGAGCTTTAATAAGTAGATCAGTTAATTTAATTTGCTTTATTGCACAGGAAGAGCCTGACCCAAAATGAATGGTCATCATAGATCCTTGACTAACCCAAAATAAAAATACAAATTATAGTAGTCACAAAGGGGACATGGTTAGAGAATATGAATGTAGGTAAAAATACAAATCTATCTATTTACTTGAAAAAAACTTTACTGAAGGACTTACTTAATAAACACAATGTTAACCTTGCCTAACACACTTAAGCATGTAATTGGTTTATTGATAGGTTAGTCTAGAGAACTTATGAAATTTCCATCAAAAATAGTATTTTGATTCAGGTTTCAAATGGCCTTTCACAAAAAAGTACAATAAATGGGTAATTAAACTTTGATTTCACTCTTCCAAAAAGGCATGCCACTCAGTTAGAGAATTTAGATACTGAATTCCAACATTAGTAAAGAAAGACTTCCCTGCCAAGCTGGAGTCTGGTTATATTACATGGATCATGTGTACTGGGGCTACCCTGGAACAACAATCGTCTCTAAAATTAGACAACACTGACAATAAGCTTAACCCAAAGTCTTGTACAGGTAATCAAAGCTAAAACTGTTACCCTTTTCCAGGAAAGAGTAACAGTTCCCATCTATTTTATAACTTGTAACAATAACTCAGACAAAATTATCTATATGTCCCCTAAAAATTTTTTTCACTGTGGTAAAATACATATAAAGTATGTCACTTTAACCATTTTTTAGGGTAGAAATCAGTGGCGTTAATTACATTCACAATGTTGTACAACCATCTCCACTATCTAGTTCCAAAAATTCTCATCACCCCAAACAGAAATTCTGTAACTATTAAGCAATAACTCCCTATTTTCCCCAATCCTCAGTCCCTAGTAACCTCTATTCTATTTCTGTCTCTATGAGTTTGCCTATTCCAAATATTTCATATAAATGAAATCATACAATATTTGCCCTTTTGTGTCTGGTTTATTTCATTCAGCATGTTTTCAAGGTTCATCCATGTCATACCATATGTCAGAACTTCATTCCTATTAATATTGTTAAAATGGCCATACTACCCAAAGCAATCTAGAGTCAATGCAATTGCTATAAAAAATGTACACTTGGGTTACTTCAACCTTTTAGCCACTGTGAAGAATGTTGCTATGCATATAGATGTACAGGTATCTGTTTAGATCCTAACTTTCAATGCTTTGGGGTATATACCTAGGAAAGGAATTACTGGATTATATGGTAACTCTGTATTTAGCTTTGTGAGGTATCACCAAACCACAGTGACTGTACCATTTTATTACTAGCAGCAATGTTACGAGGATTCAAATTTCTCCACTTCCTCACTCACACTTGTTAGTTTTCCCTTCCTTTGATTTTAGCCATCCTAGTATTTGTGAAGTTATACTTCATTGTGGTTTTGATTTAGATTCCCTAATGGCAAGTGACATTAGACTTGAAATGTCTGTTCAAGCCCTTTTTTTTTCTGGATTGTCTTTTTGTTGTTGGACTGTAGATCTTTACATATTCTAGATATTAAACCGCAATCAGATATATTATTTATAAATATTTTTCCCATTCTGTAGCTGTCTTTTTACATTCTTGATAATGTACTTTGATGCATAAGTTTTTAATTTTGATGAAGTCCAATTTATCAATTTTTATATTTGACACACTTGGTATCATACCTAGAAATACATGACAAAATCCAAAATCATGAAGATTTACTTCTATGTTTTCCTCTAAGAGTTTTCTACTGTTAGCTCTTATACTTAAATCAATTTTTAGTTAATTGTCATATATGATGTGAGGCAGAAGTCCAACTTCATTATTTTTCATGTGGAAATTCACTTATTCAACTGTTTGAGAGACTACTCTATCCCCATTGAATGGATTTGACATCCTTGACAAAAAACAACTAGTCATAGATACAAGGAATTACTTCTGGTCTCTCAGTTTATTCCATTGGACTATGTCTATCATTATGCAAGTACCACAGTTTTGATTACTGTAGCTTTGTAGCAAATTTTGAAATCACTGTCATTTCTATAATTTTGTTCTTTTCAAGATTGCTTTGGCTATTCAGGGGCCCTTACAATTCCATATGAATTTGAGTATTGGCTTTTTCATTATTAGAAAAGAGACTATGGAATTCTTACAGGAATTATGTGGAATCTGTAGATCATATTAGGTAGTATTGATGTCTTAACAATATTAAATCTTACTATCCATAAACATAGGGTGTCTTTCCATTTATTTAGATCTTCTTTAATCTCTTTCAGCAATGTTTTGTAGATTTCAGTGTAAAAGTGTTTCACCTCCTTGGTTTCACTCATTCCCAGGCAATTTATTAATTTGTTTTCTTAATTTCCTTTTCAGATTGTTTACTGCTGGTCTATAGGAACACAACTGATTTTTATATGTTGATCTTAAACATTACAACTTTACTGAATTTGTTTATAAGCTCTAATAGCTTTCTTGTGAATTCTTTGGGGTTTTCTACATACAGGATCTTGTCACCTGTGAACAGAGATAGTTTTACTTTTTCCTTTCCAATTTGGATGGCTTTTATTGCTTTTTCTTGTCCAATTGCAATAGCTAGAAACAGTAAATATTGAATAGCAATGGTGAAAGCAAGCATCCTTGTCTTTGCTTATGACCTAAGGGGAAAAGCTTTTAGTCTTTCACTGTTGACTAGGATGTTAGTTTTGGTTTTTCAGGAATGGATACTACCACACTGAGGAAATTCTGATCTATTCATAGTCTTCTGAGAATTTTTATCATGAGTTTGATTTTGTCAAATGCCTTTTCTGCATCAAGATGATCATGTATTTTTGCCTTCATTCTATGGTATTACATTGATTTTTTTTTATGTTGAACCATCCTTGCATCCTGGGATAAATCCATTGTCAGGGTACATAAACCTTTTAATATGCTGATGAATTTTGTTTGCATAGTATTTTGTTGGGGATTTTTGCTTTTTGTTCATAAAAGATTATTAGTCTATAGTTTTCTTTTCTTGCAATGTCTTCATGTGGCTTTGGTATCAAGGTAATGCTGGCCTCACAGAATGAGTTAGGAAATGCTTCCTCCTCTTTTACTCCTTTTCTATTTTGGGGGAAGATTTTGAGAACTGGTATTAACAATTTTTGGTAGAATTCACCAGTAAAGTCTGATTCTGGACTTTTCTCTGTTGGGAAGTTTTTTATTACTGATTGGATCTCTTAACTTGCTACAGGTCTGTTGAGATTTTCTATTTCTTCTTGAGTCAGCTCAGGTAATCTGCATGTTTCTAGGAATTTGTCCATTTTACCTAGTTATGTAATTTTCTGTCTTATAAGTGGTCATAATATTCTCTTATAATTCTTTTTATTATTGGAAGGTTGACAGTAATGCCCAGTTTCATATATGATTTTAGTTATTTGCCTTTTCCCTTTTTTTCTTTGTCAGTCTAGCTAAGGACTTGTCAATTTTGTTGATCTTTTCAAAGAACCAACTTTTATTGTTTCTATTGTTTTCCTAATTCTATTTATCTCCCTTGTAATTTTAGTACTTCTTTCCTGCTTCTGCTACCTATCGGTTTAGTATACTCTTCCTTTTCTAGCACTTCAAGGCATAAAAAATTAGGTTTTGATTTGATATTTGTCTTTTTATTTAAAGTAAGCAGTCACAACTATAAGTTTCTCCCTAAACACTCCTTTTGCTGCATTCTATAAATTTAGAATTTTGTATGTTTTGGTAGGTTGTATTATTTTCTTTAGTTTCTAAGTATTTTCTCATTTTCCTCATGATTTCTTCTTTGACCCATTGGTTAAGAGTGTGCTGTTTAATTTCAAAATTCAAATTTGTGAATTTTCCAATTTTCCTTCTGTTACTAATTTCTCAGTTCATTCCTTTGTGGTCAGAGAGGATAATTTGCATGATTTCAATCCTATAAAGTTTATTAAGACTTGTTCTGTCTCCTAACATATGGCCTATTCTGAAAAATGCTGCATGTGCACTTAAGAAGAATCTATATCCTGCTATTGTTAAGAATGTTCTGTGTTCTCTAGAGGTCTATTAGATCTAACTGGTTTACAGTGCTGTTCAAGTCCTCTATATCCTTACTGATACTCTGTTTAGATGTTCTATCCATTATTGCAAGTGGGGTATTGAAGTTTCCAACTATTATTGTCTATTCCTCCAACTCTGCCAATGTTTGCTTTATATATTTTGGGGTTCTGTTGTTTGGTGCCTATCCATATATACTTTTTATAGTAATTTTTCTATTTCATTTTTAATATTTAGTTGAAAACAAAAAAATTATTCACTTTATTAATAAAACTACTTATTCGTTTTATTAATAAAACTACCTATTCACCCCTTCTAAATAAAATTTAAACCCTACTTCCCAATATAATTTCTTTTCCAAAACACCACAGAAAAATAATCTGGAGCTCTAAGGCTTAGATAAAAGCATTATTATATAGTATAAATGTCATAATTTCTTGTTCACTAAATTTAATTAGTAAAATATAAAGCATATATATTAAAATACAAGCTGTACATGTTTAATGTGAATTCAATTACTTGAGTCTTAAAATACGTCAGATTAATGTCAAGTGTGGTAGTTTAGATTGTTAATAAATTCACCTATTAAAATGCTCAAAAATATACAATGGCAATTAAAAATGCCATCTAATATTAAGGGAGAGGAGAGAAAATGAGCTAATTAATAAGAAAATCTAGATACTCTCTCTTCTACTCCCAAATATCAGAAAATTATTTTAAATTCCATCCAAGCAAATACTATTAGTTCTAACAAAAAGAGTAATTCTAAAAGACACTAGGTGTAGTTAATATCACCTCATTTTTTTCTTGCTTAGCTGGTCCCGGATTCTGTGCTCCATTTGCAGGCTCTTTTTCTGAAACTGAACTCTGGCCCAGGATTTCACTGCTGATAGGCCGTAGTGCCTCAACAGGTGTATCACTTCTTCCAAAAAGGTGCAAAAGCCAAAAAGGAAGTGGAGGGAGTAAAGGAAATTACATTTTAGTGAGAAATTTCTATTTAAAACAATGAATAGCCTAAATGTTTATCAAATGCACAAAAATAGATTTTTTAAAATTGTCCTTTCTTCTTTAAGTACACTGAGGGTTTTTTTTTAAATAGAATGTGTGTTACCTCTACAGAGAGAGAATAAAACTACCTTCATAAAGTACCATTTCTTTTATTTTGCAATTTATACAGTACTTCCACATGCATTATCTCATTTAACTTGCACAATAACCTGTAAAATAGGTTATAACTCCCATTTCACAGATGAGGAAACAAAAACAAATGACTTTCCTAAAATTGCATAGCTAGCAAATTCTGCTAAAACTTGAATCCAGGTCTTCAGGACTCCAAATCGAATGCTGGCCCATGCCTAAAGATAACCTTTTTTTTTTTTTGGCCATTTAATTTTGAAATCATCATATTGAAAAGACAAAGCTTTCATATTTCCACTGATTGTTCTTCCTTTTTGTTTTGAGTTTGTTTCTGTTTGAGTGAAAATTTATCCTTACAAAATACCACACACTCCTTTATAAATTTTTCTTTTGTGTTTATCTTCTAGTTCACCATAGTAACTCAATCATTGTATCCCTGGGATGTAGCATGGTGATAGCACAGAGTAGACGCTCAAATATTTTTAAATGAATACTGACCTCAAACATGTATCTCCACAAGTAGAAGTCTCTTCATATGGTATTTTTAACATAACTGATCTAACTGAGCTTTCCAATTATTTTTTTTTAAGTTACACCTAAAGTATTTTTAAAACCAAGGTAAACTTTCTCCAAAGTAAATTTTTATACTTTATCCACACAGAGTACCTCTCCCACAGCATGTTATTAGCATCCCTTTTGATACACTGTCCTTATCAAGAGTATGAACTCTGAAGGAGAGAAATTTATATTTATTAAGTACCAATCACATGCTTGCCACTCCGCTAGGAGCTTTATCTTACTTTGAAAGTCAACAACCTATTTTACAGAGGAGGTCACTGAGGCTCAGGAAAATTGAGTAATTGTCCCAAGATCACACAGCTAGTAAATGGCAAAGCTACTGTTCAAACCCAAGTATAACTCCAAAGACCATGTTTTATTCATTATTTCACATTGCCTTGCCTCATAAATTTTCTAATTTCAGAGACATGACAGATGTTATTGCTACTGCTCAGCTAATAATTAAATGTATTACTTACTTTTTAACATGTCAACATTTTACTGCTTTACTTATTCAATTATAGTCTAATAACTATATGCCACTTCTTTTCACCTTTATCTAGTCACTCTTCAATGTCTACTACTTTCTTTACATGGGCATCAGTACTTGTAGTCACATTTGGCTAGATTTTTGTGCATTTTTTTTCTTTACAAAGATAATCCCACTGATGCTCAAGTTCAAATAGGTCATTTCGTTTTACTGACCAAGAAGCTCTTATCATCTTACGTACTCAGAAGAATATCAACAATTCCCCAGAATTGAAGCCCACTATCTCACAAAATGTGAATTTTCTCTAAAGGGATTGGAAAGTCCAAGAAAAGTTTAAAATAGTCTCTACCAGTGCTCAGGATTCCTATTCCTTTGGGATTTAGATAATAGCATGCTTCTACATTAAGTTATACTCATTCATTTTCATCACTAGGTATTATTTCTATCTTTGAAATACAGCAGTAAAGATGGCTTAAGAGATCACCTTAGCCTTTATGATGTCCTCTCACTTAACTGAACCTAGAATACCCCTTCTCTTTAAGGAACAGTAAAGAAAGTATCACAACCTCCCTTCTCTACAATCTCATGGCAGCTTAAGAGAAAAACTTTCATATGTATTTATCCTGTATTTCTTGTGCCTTAACTAAAGAGGTCCTCTTGCTTTAATTAAAAGCAGAAATTCCGAGTCCAGTGCTCCTTCCTCAATAGAGAATGCCTCCAACTATCCTGTGTGAATAGGAAAAGGTTTCATTTTTGTGCTCTTTCGTGTTCCTTTAATAACTTTATTGCAGTCAATAGTAATAGTGTACTTCACAGTAATAACTCAGTAGAGGAAACCAGCCAGATGTCCCAGTGGGTTTCCTGGAAATGTGAGGAAGTTTCCTAACCCTTGAAATAAAGAACTGTTAATCAGAAAATTATTACTTCATGCTAAGTTTGAAGGAAAAACAGAGTGATAGTTTTAACACTTTTTCCATTCCTGTACATAAATCATTACTAAAACAGATGAGTGGAATAAAAAAGTAGAAATTATCAGAAATTCTTCTGTACATATATATGTTCAATACAGTACTATTTAGAGAAGAAAAAAATGGAAACAATCTGCTGTCCTACAATAAGGAATTAGGAACAAGTATGACACAGTCTTACAATGGAATACTGGACATATCATTGATCACTGATGTCAATAAATGTTTAAAAATATGGGAAAATATTCATGATCCAATAAAAAAATTACATATGAAAATATATATAGTACATTCTCAACTTCAAAAAACATATTTGAGAAAAATGTCTGGTCCTGGTCATCTAAGTGTGAGATTGTGTGGGATTTTAATTTCATATTTACACTCTTCTATATCTTCCAAAATTTCTTCAATGCACATGTATTGCCTTTATAACCAAGCAAAAGAATACAGTATATTTTTAAAAAAGATTTCCCCTGATAATTTTAATTATCAAAATTTTAAAAACCCTTTGTAAAGTTTAAGGTCGAACTTCCAACCAAAGGGACTTGAACATTAAGAAAACACACACATACACACAACAATTAGATTATCTCACACTTGCAGAGATTTCTTAATTTTTAGGAGGAAATACTTACTGTTCCGGAGATTCTTCATAAATACTGTGACATTCTGTATTCTCAAGCATGAGACTTCTACTGAGGTTTTGTACCCCTGGATAATGGAAGTTAGCAAAGGAGTGTGACATTGGAGATGTTTTGTTCCCCAGGTCTGAGATTCTCTTATCATGACTGGTTAGTCCACAAGTGAGGCCATCTAAAGCAGGATTCAGAGAGCGGGTCATATAGGCATCAGCTGATTGAGGCCTTCTCATTGGAGATGATGGATAGGGAGAAAGTTTGCTGATAAGAGGAGTCAAAAGATCAGCATATGCAGCTTTTGTGGGTTTCAGAAGTTTGTCAACATGAATATTAAGCACTTTCTGTTCAAAAGCACAAGAGAAGACAGAAGATGGCAGATTCTGAAGCCATGACAATAAACTCAGATCTAAATCATCACAACCATTACCACATAAGAGGTCAATGCCAAGAAGTACTTCACTTTCTGTAATTTCTTCTCCAGTTGCTTTACTCTGACAAAATTCTACACAGCATTCATAAAGTAGGCCCTTCATTACAAGCTGAAATAAACGATTGTTACTTGCTTTAAAACCAGCCTCACTTAGCTTCCTATCAGCAGGGATGAATTCTGCAACCATGACACAAGCCTCTTCAAAACAGTGCACTCGTGCAGTGCTTGGGTTCCAGTCCTTAAATTCAGCATGATTGGTCAGACGAGGCAAAGTCAAAAGCAAACAGAGCTTGCTGTAGTCATCTTTAGAAGGGCAGTACTCTTCCAAGGCATGTAAACATTGTACAGCTTCCTGCATGGTAAATTCTAGCTGTAAGAAAAATATAAATGATCACTATAAAGAGAGATGCTGTGAGATATAAAAACAGTGAGAGTATTTTATTCAAATACAAAGATACTTTACAAATTTTCATAAACTAATTACAAAAGGAGCAGTTCTAGTGTCACAGAATACTCATATAATATCTAGAATACTTAACAACTTTCAAGTCAAGAGCCAAAATGTTTCACACTATTAAAATGAAAAGATTAAATAATTTGGCTAATCATCACGTTAAACTTTTATCTATAAAAATAGTATTCTAATTCAGGCTTAAGATTGTCATTCTCCAACACATAATTTTTTAAAGTTTAGAAAAATTAAGTTTTCTAGAAATCAGAAGTTAAGCATATCAATATCCAATTGTCTATGTAGTTTGCTATCACTCCAGCTTACCAAAAAGCAAAAGAGCCATCCTCAAACTTGGCTGAGGACAAATTTGTGTGGGAAAAGAAAGCAAATCAAGAAAGGGGACATCTACAGTTCGTTTACTACAATAATAGTGCAGAGACAGAACAGAAGGAAGCTTACTTGAGAGACAAATTACAATGATTTTATAGAGTAAGTATTATCTTAGAATCATAAGCTTTTAATGATATAAGGAACCTCAAAGCTTATGTAGTCCAGCTTCTGTTATCTTACACATGGGAGAAGTTAGGGTGCAGATTTAACCAAGGTAATTCAGTTGCTTTGTAACAAAGACTAAAAATTACATCTATTGGCTTATATTGTTCTTTCCACTTTTAAACATCATTAGCTGGCATACATTTCTCTATTATACATGAAAGTCTCCAGATGTAATAATATCCTTTTGTTCCTTTCAATGAATACTTAGCTGGCAAACATTTCTCTATTATACAAGAAAGTCTCCACATGAAATAATATCCTTTTGTTCCTTTCAATGAATACTTACTGGCACTTAATAGAAGTTCCCTTGGTTTTGGACATAACAATACTAATATTAAAACTTTAAAAGTAACTATCTAATCAAAAATAATTTAATATCATTAAATTTAAATTATCATGAAGAAACAAACATTTTATTAAAAAACCATCTCTGCATCAAAGAAAATACTGAAATGACACAAAGAGGAGGTAAACACAATCCACTTCAGGGATAAGAAAAGAAGCAGTATCTTAGAGTCATCAAGTCAAACATCTATTGCTACCTAAATCACCTTAAACAAGAACGGATCACATACTCTCCAACCATCAAGCCATTCGTCACCTTTGCTAAATCATGGAACTAATTCAGAAGCACTACAGACTGAAAGTACTATATATCTGCAAAAGAGCAGATCTTGTCCCATCCCAGCTCATTAAACACTTTGAAAACTCATGATACTAAACTTTTGTTTTAGTGAATACAAAATACTTATGACTGAAACAAGACTATGGCGCAAACCTTCAGGAATAAAAATCTTACATGCTGGGGCTCATCTTCTGCTGACATTGCATTGTTAACACATAAGGCTTCTAAAAACTTCTGCTTCAGGATAATATAACGAAACCTGTGAAAAATAAAATATGAAACAATAAGATGATTAAAAAGCTGAGTTACAGTAAAGTCAAAGCCTGAAAATGGGATCAATTTCCTAAAGCAAATCAGGCCAAGTTTATCTTGAAAGATGAATTATGTTTTACACAAGACTTTTTTAAAAAAATTAATTTTCCAATGCCTAACTCAAATGTACTTATAAGTTACTACAAGTACCTGAACTTTCAAATAATTCTTAAAATATTTTCCTAAGCTTAACACATTGAAGCCACAATTAGTTTCAGTAGCAAGTAATCACAATTTAATACACAAAAGAGGCATTTCTAAATGCAATATTAATTCTAAACAAAAATCAGGTTTTTATGGAAGATGTCAAATGTCACCTAATAATGAAATCAAAATCCTTAACATTCAAAATGTTTCTTTTCCGAAAATATGTTCTTTTTTCTTTTCTAACATAAGAAATGTCTACTAAAAATGGGGCTGAATGGGTAGTAAGAATTGAACATTTCTAAAAAGTCATAAAACAGCTATAAACTTAAAACTTTTTAACAGACTTTTCAGAGAAAAGAAGGGAGAGCAAAGAGTTCTACCTGACTTGTTGAAGAATGAAAAAATGTCAGCTGCCTTTAGCACTTTAAAGAAAAAGTGTTTCTAAAGACTGAAAGAAAATAATGAACCTTTGATCATTCCACCATTGCTGTAGAGGCAAATGTGTCCAATAAAACAAAATCCCTGTCTTCAAATCAAATAAATTGTATGAAAATGTGCATATGGTTCACCAAAGTCTCAAAGGAGTGTACAGCCAATTCTACCAGAATGGCTGGGAAGTAAAAGTAAAGTCTTATAAGAACGTAATCTTGGGAGATGATTATGCTATGTAAAGGCAGGAAATGGTAAAGAAATAATATTCTCCATGAATGAAGAGAATACAAAAGCAAACGGGTATCAAATAGTATGGTATGAATGGAGAATCAAAAAACAATGACATTCCATACGCAAGAAAAAGAGTGAAATGAAACCAATCTCATGAATCCTCCTGAAAGAGATTTCAAAATCAAAATAATAAACATGCTCATGGAGGTACAGAAAAATATTCCAGAACTCAGGAATGAATTCTGGTCGGAGATCCAATCATTGCGGAACATAGTATCAGAAATGAAACATAAAATGGAAGGTTTTAAAAGCAGATTAGATACAGTGGAGTAGACGATAAATGAAATAGAAACTAGAGAAGAGGAATACAAAGAAGCTGAGGCACAGAGAAAAAAAAGGATCTCTAAGAATGAAAGAATATTGAGAGAACTGTGTGACCAATCCAAACAGTACAATATTCATATTATAGGGGGTACCAGAAGAAGAAGAAGAGAGAGAAAAAGGGATAGAAAGTGTCTTTGAGGACGTGATTCCTGAAAACTTCCCGAATCTGGGGAAGGAGATAGTCTCTCAGGCCATGGAGATCTCTCAACACAAGGGAACAAAGGAAGACAACACCAAGACATATAATAATTAGGATGGCAAAGATCAAGGATAAGGACAGACTATTAAAAGAAGCCAGAGAGAGAAAAAGGATCACATACATACAAAGGAAAACCCATCAGGCTATCATCAGAGTTCTCAGCAGAAACCATACAGGCCACAAAGGACTGACATGATATATTTAATACAATGAAGCAGAAGGGCCTTGAACCAAGAATATTTATTTGGTAAGATTATCATTTAAATTTGAAGGAAAGATTAAACAATTTCCAGATAGGCAAAAGCTGAGAGAATTTACCTCACATAAACCATCTCTACAGTGTATTTTGGAGGGAATGCTATAGATGGAAGTGTTCCTAAGGTTTAATAGCTGTCACCAGAGTTAATAAAACCACAGTAAAAAAGTAGAACAGTTAATGACTAAGCAAATGCAAAATTAAACCAACTACCCCAAAGTCAGTCAAGGGATAGAGAAAGAGTACAGAATATGATACTTAATACGTAAAGAATGGAGGAGGAAGAAAAAGGAGGAGAAAAAAAAGAACCTTTAGATTGTGTTTGTAATAGCATATTAAGTGAGTTAAGGTAAACTCTTAGATAGTAAGGAGGTTAACCTTGAACCTTTGGTAACCACAAATCTAAAGCCTGCAATGTGAATAAGTACATACCTGTCAATAATCACCCTAAATATAAATGGTGAATGCACCAATCAAAAGACACAGAGTCACTGAACGGATAAAAAAACAAGACCCAAATATATGCTGCTTATAATAGACTCACTTTAAACTGAAAGACATACACAGACTAAAAGTGAAGGGATGGACAAAGACATTTCAAGCAACTAATAGGGAGAAAAAAGCAGGAGTCACAGTACGTATCAGACAAAATAGACTTCAAAATAAAGAAAGTAACAAGAGACAAAGAAGGACATTACATAATGATAAAGGGGTCAATCCAACAAGAAGATATAACCATTATAAATATCTATACACCGAACGCAGGAGCACCTACATATGTGAAACAAATACTAACAGAATTAAAAGGGGAAATAGAATGCAATGCATTCATTCTAGGAGACTTCAACACTCCACTCACTCTGAAGGACAGATCAACCAGACAGAAAATGAGTAAGGACACAGAGGCACTGAACAAGACACTAGAACAGATGGACCTAACAGACATCTACAGAACTCTACACCCAAAAGCAGCAGAATACACATTCCTCTCAAGTGCACATGGAAATTTCCAAGAATAGATCATATACTAGGCCACAAGAAGAGCCTCAGTAAATTCAAAAAGACAGAAATTGTACCAACCAGCCTCTCAGACCACAAAGGTATGAAACTAGAAATAAATTATACAAAGAAAATGTAAAATCCCACAAACACCTGGAGGCTTCACAACATGCTCCTAAATAACCAATGGATCAATGACCAAATAAAAACAGAGATCAAGCAATATATGGAGAAAAATGACAACAATATTTCAACACCGCAAAAATCTGTGGGACACAGCGAAGTCCATGCTAAGAGGAAAGTATATTGCAATACAGCCCTACCTCAGGAAAAAAGAACAATCCCATATTAACAGTCGAACCTCACAATTAACGAAACTAGAAAAAAAAAGAACAAATGAGGCCTAAAATCAGTAGAAGGAGGGACATAATAAAGATTAGAGGAAAAATAAATAAAATCAAGAAGAATAAAATAGAAAGAATCAATGAACATAAGAGCTGGTTCTTCAAGAAAATAAACAAAATAGATAAACCCCTAGACACACTTACCAAGAAAAAAAGAGTCTACACATATAAACAGAATCAGAAATGAAAAAGGAAAAGTCAGTATGGACACCATGGAAATACAAAGAATTATTAGAAAATACTATGAAAAATTATATGCTAACAAATTGGATAACCTAGAAGGGAAAACATTCTACAAAAATACAACCTTCCAAGGCTAATCCAGAAAGAAAACAGGAAATCTGAACAGACCAATTACCAGCAATGAAATTGACATGATAATAAAAAAACTAGGTACCTAAGAACAAAACGCCCAGATGACTGTACCGCTGAAATTTATCAAACATTTAGTGAAAACTTAATACCCATCCTCCTTAAAGTTTCAAAAAAGTAGAAGAGGGAATACTTCCAAAGTCATTCTATGGAGCCAGCATCACTCTAATACCAAATCCAGATAGACACCACAAAAAAAGAAAATTACATAACAATATCCCTGATGAGCATAGATGCAAAAATACTCAACAAAATATTAGCAAACCAAATTCAAGCATATATCAAAAAGATCATCCACCATGATCAAGCAGGATTTATTCCAGGGATGCAAGGATGGTCCACTATTAGGAAATCCATCAACATCATCCACCATACCAATAAAAAGGACAAAAACCACATGATCATCTCCATAGATGCTGAAAAAGCATTTGACAAAATTCATCATCCATTCATGTTAAAAACTCTGAACAAAATGTGTATAGAGGGCAAAACCTCAACATAATAAAGGACATATATGATAAACCCACAGCCAACATCATACTTAACAGCGAGAAGCTGAAAACTTTTCCTCTAAGATCAGGAAAAACACAGGGATGACCACTCTCCCAACTGTTATTCAATATAGTACTGAAGGCCTAGCCATGGCAATCAGACAAAACATAGAAATACAATGCACCCAGATTGGTAAAGAAGAAGTCAAACTGTCACTATTTGCAGATGACATGATATTGTACATAAAAAACCCTAAAGAATCCATTCCAAAACTACTAGAACCAATATCTGAATTCAGCAAAGTTGCAGGATACAAAATTAATACGCAGAAATCTGTTGCATTCCTATACAATAATGATGAACTAGCAGAAAGAGAAATGAGGAAAACAATTCCATTCACAATTGCATCAAAAAGAATAAAATACCTAGGAATAAACATAACCAAGGAAGTGAAAGACCTACACCCTGGAAACTAAAAGACACTCTTAAGAGAAATTAAAGAGGACACTAACAAATAGAAACTGATCTCATGCTCCTTGTTAGGAAGAATTAATATTGCCAAAATGGCCATCCTGCCTAAAGCACTATACAGATTCGATGCAATCCCTATCAAATTACCAACAGCATTCTTAAACAGACTGAAACAAATAGTTCAAAAATTCATATGGAAACACCAAAGACCCCGAATAGCCAAAGCAACCCTGACAAGGAAGAAAAAGTGGGGGGTATCTCGCTCGCCAACTTCAAGCTCTACTACAAAGCCACAGTAATCAAGACAATTTGGTACTGGCAGAAAAACAGAGCCACAGACCAGTGGAACAGACTAGAGACTCCAGACATTAACCCAAACATATATGGTCAATTAATATAGGATAAAGCAGCCATGGACATACAATGGGGAAATGACAGTCTCTTTAAACCGTCGATGCTGGCAAAACAGGACAGCTACATGTAAGAGAATGAAACTGGATCACAGTCTAACCCCATACACGAAAGTAAATTTGAAATGGATCAAAGACCTGAATGTAAGT